GTACCTGTTTTGGAAAAGAAATTTCGATGGGAAAAATATTTCCTAAAAAAGGCTCGGGAAAAGGCCATTATTTTCATCAACCTAATATACTTGTGAGGTGAGGCAGTCACTAGGAAATAGAAAAATTCGAGACTGGTACCTAATTTCTTATTATATCCTTAGGAGCTTCACTATTTTCTTTTCTCAGATTTTCTTTGTCTGAATGCTATCCTAGCGTGCTGAATAGATGTGAACGTTGAGATATGTATGTTGAAAGGTAATCGAGCGCATTTGATGACATTGAAGATTAGATTATTTTGCCTTTCCAAGTGGGCGAAATTGCTTCGGTTTGGTCGACCCCAAACTTATTCTATTTGTTAATTGATGATTAGATTTCCAACGATTAGAAATTTTGGCAAGTTTGAAAGCCCTAATTTTTCGGGCTTCGACTCTTGCGTTTCAAGTTTGTCAGGGTGACTTTGGAGACGGTAGCCGGCGTATTGACCACTGGCGAGTGTCGGTGCTAAGCCGTCGCATGGCGCGATAGGTTCATCGCATGTGCCACTCAAGCATCGCGCTCGTGTTCGCGCATGTTGAGAAAAAAATCGGGAGGGGGGGGGGGGGGAGGGGAGAGAGGGGGTGGGGGAAAAGAACGAGCAAAGTTATTCACTTTTGTTGTTGAAATACTAGTATAGGCAGCATAAGAAGAATAATAGCACTGATAAAATCGAAATGACTTCCGATCACTACTGAGGTTACAGTAACCGTCCAATCACGACTTACAGTAATCGATCAATACTAGATTGATGGGATCAATAGAGCATTGAAATTCTCTCCTAAACCCACTTTATTAATGACAATTAGAGCCGGAATTGCGCATCGACACGCGCCGCACAGGTCAATCAATAAAGGCGCAACGCGCGCGCATGCACGTAGTTGCATCCGCACGCGCCCGGCTAACAGAAAAAAATATAGCCTAAAAAATGCACTCATCTATTTTTTCTGCAAAAATTCGATTGCACTAGTACAGGTATTTTTGTGTGTAAACTGTCTGATTCTTCATTTTTTTTCTCTAAATTCAATATTTTGGATACTTCGGTTAAGAATAGAACTTGATAAATAGTAAGTTTATTACATTTTGAAATACTTGATGTCGGACATCCTCTGCCAGTGTCTGAAAATCAATGTAATTATTATAACCTTGACAATAGCCAAATAATCCGTACAAAAATGAAAATCTTTCTTTTTAGATTTCATAAATGAATATTGGATTTGCCAGTAGTTTTTCATTCGTTATATCTCTCGCTTTTGTCTGTTCAGTACTGTGCCAATATTGAAAGCGGATTTATATTATAGTTATTGGCTCAAATTTCTTTCTCCTTTTCTTTCTCAGAAATTTAGAAATTCATAAAATTTGAATCTGATGATATTTAATTTACTTCTAATTCAGTTTTCAACAGCATCTTTTGTGTGAATTTGTTAGATGCTTATGTTCTGCCTGAATGCAACATATCAATTAGCTATAAAAATCCAAGAAAGACATTCTTACATGCCGAAGCTGTCAAAAGCATGAGAATCAGATCTATAAAATGGAGGTGGAAACCAGCATTGTTATCGTCTTATGCTACGTCTTTGTTCACAGAAAATTTTCTAGCAAATTTAGGTGAACAGCTTCTATTACTTTCCCTGTTCCATATTCCATGTTTTTTTTGTTCGAATAGCTAAGTAACATATTAGCATCTCAATGTTGACGTTTCCATGGGACCGCTCAGTGAAAAGCACGAGAACATTGAAAGGTTGCAAGCGCAGAATATATGAAAAGACTTTCATCCATATACGTTTCTTACATTTGGTTATATACACGACAAAGCAGTTCACTCATTCTATTCAAAATTTTACCGTTTCTCTCTTTCACCATTCCTTTTCTCAAACAGAGTGACAAAATCCGTGATATCATGTCAAAACTATTTCCTTATTGCTTTTTTTCATTTAAAAAAAGGTTAAAGCGATCTACTGGACGATACGAATTATTTTTGGACAGGTAAAATCATATTGAGACGTTAGGCAAATCAGTTTCTTCTACCTATAGTCAGTCTTGTGTCTAAAAAAATAAAGAAGGAATATTTTGATGAATTTGCAAATGAATATTTTTATTTCATCTCCAAAGAAAAGCTTTAAAAAAAGCAGTATCTTTATTCATACCACTATTATAGTTCTGCTTATTATTTGTTACTTGTGTTTGCAAAATCTGAGCTATATTTTCAAATGACCTATTGAAAATCGCTCAAGACTTTTTTATATGATCTTGGTATAACGAAAAAGAGGAGTAACCCGCAGCTGAGGTATTCAACAATATACTTTATTGTCAGTGTAAAAAACACGAGTATAAGGAGCCTTAAAACTTCTGATTTTAGGCACTCAACTGCAAATTTTTTTGGCCTATTTTGGACAGCACGGGTATTCGGAACAGCGCATAAAATGAGGATTTCTTCAATAGATTTTTGATTAGGCTCTGTTGAGCTGTACCAAATTTTTTGTTGATAGCCGTCGGGCTACTATGCCATATTTCAATGACAAAAAATCTGATGCATACTTTTAATTTCGAGAATTCTTTTCTTACAGCATTTTTTCTGGTGCACCAAAGTTGAAAAAATATTATTGTCTGACAAATCCTTATGATTCAAATAAAGATTATGTTAGTATCACTATCTCAGAAGATCTGCAGTTTATCTTTGTCATAAGATTGTTTTGCATCCATTCAATCGCTCTTGGCCTATGCAATTTTTTGTGCGTTCAGGTACAGGTAATTTCATGAATGATTTTTTAACATGACCACTCGAAATCCAATTCAGAACGTTTTCCAACCACAGGAAAATAATCAAAGACATTGCATTCATAAACTGGGATATCCCTTTTTGACTATATGCTCGTGATCTATCGGGACCATCTCGATCAGAGCATTTTGCAGCCAGAATTTGCTCACCTGAACGTGCCAAAGAGAGCACGCACGGCGCACTACAGCACAGGGAGTCCAGCGACGGGGGGCCCGCCCGCCCCCCGTCTCCGCCCTTCGTTGCCCTATTTCAATTACACTCTCTCGCTCACAACACTAAATCCCACAGAGCATTTTCATCATTGTGTGTAGCCTTCCGATTCATTCGCTTTTCATCCCATTTTGAGGATTTGCAAAAGTCAAAAGGCGTGGAGGGGGGGGGGGGTAGGGGCAAGTGCTTGTACTTGTCTGTTACTAAATGAGTAACGGCTCTTATCGCCGCAGCGATGCCGAACCCTCTTCGTCATCGGGGCGTTTATGCCCGTATGCGGCTGATAAGGGCCAGATTCGTCATCGATGCGGTTTGACACTTAGAAACATATGCTATGATGGTATTCTCATAAGCTAAGCTATTTTTCTCGCAAAGAATTTTCTTCCCAGATTCTGTGAATTGGGCGAAATTTGCTTCTGAAAAGGCCGTTCGATTTCGGCGCTTTTGCCCCCCCCCCCCTTCCCTCTTTACATTTTCTTCGCTTTATGTAGACGTTAGTCATGTTACCCTGCTTCGATATGTTCGATCATTTCAAATTCTCCTTCCATTAGTTTCAATCTTCGTTCTTCGCCCAAAATATACAATTCAATAAGATTTGTCACTTTCTCATATTTTCTGCAAGTTTTTGCATTTTTTGCCTTCCTCCTTGCCTAAAATTCGTAACGTTTATCTTCTTAGAAAGTGAGATCTATTCGTTTTCCTGCTTATTTGTCAATCGTTATTCTACCAATCATTTTTCCAAGCTCTACAAACCCGTTCAACATTCTTTTGTTATCTCTGTAGTTGTTTTTTAGCATCAAACGAATTGACATAATCGCTCAATTGGGGGCCTTAAGACATTATTATTTATTCACCCTTTGATTCTTGATTTCGCTAAAATTTATGCAGAAAAGGTGTGCAAAATCAATGCATTGCTCATATTAGGGCATTTTGCAAATTTTCGATTGATTTTCGGTGCTTTTCGAAAGTTCAATAAAATACAATTCCGCTTACCAGGACTCCACACTTGCTAATTTCTGCAAGTTAACCTTTGATTCAACTGGCTTGACGTCTGCAAGGCGGGCTTTAACCTAAATAAGACCGCTCGCGCCCGCGACGCAGTCTGCGTCTCCCCCACGCGCGTGCTCTCTGTCATTACCTAGCTTAATTAAGTTACGAGGCCCCGCCTTACAGCTGCCAAGCCAGTTGAATCAAAAACTACTTTATTCAGTGTATAGCAAAAAAAATTATTTCTGTTTTCTCGAATTGCATCAAAATTTATTTGGCTGCAAATCTACAAATCTATAAAAGCCTTAGAAATGTAAATCTGCTAGGGTTCGTACAGTCAAACTCCGTTTCTGAATTTGGAGGCTCTGTAATTACACTTTATACAAGCTAACAGACACATTCTTATAACGCGACATCCGAACAATGGATAGAATTCGTTTTTTTTCATGATTTCTGCAAAATTTTCTGCATGCATCCTTGCACCTTACTTCCTCACATCTATGCGTAAGAATATTCAGTTCCGTGTGAAAAAATTTTTACTTTTGTGCAAGAAATCTTCTATTTTCTAAATAGAAAAGCTAAAGACTGCTCAGATGACCGTTCAAAGGACATAATTGGACTTGTGCGGGGTCCTGCAGCGATATCCTGCTCACTGTGGTTATCTGCAACTGTAGATCTAATGCTCTGTGGCTAATTCCTGTTTTACAAGTAACAAAGCTTGTTCTACATGTTTATACATGATTTTACATGTACAAATCCGAACTTGTTCAATGTTAGCGCCTCTTATCAGTGCCGAGATATCATTGTTATCGGTTCAGATGTCCAGTGCAGGTGTGATTCCCTTCGTTTCTGTTCTTGTACATCTTGATCCATAATTCCTCTCAAATTTGGCCTTTTTGCTTTCATTTTAGCTCTTTTCTTGACAGTTCTATACGCGTTTAAGCATTTATTGCGTTGTAATAATGTCGATAAGCGATACGTTTTCGATGTGTTTTAGGAGTTGGCCTACTTTCTAACCCCGATAAATTATGGATGATGATTGGGCACCGTTGCTGAACAAAGATTGTATGCTGTTCTCACCTAGCGGTGTCTCACTTGAAGATGATTTCCATTTGACGAGTCTCGACTATAATATGTGTGAAAGAATGATCAAAACTGAACCACAGGAGGAAACCAGTGGTGAGTTTTTAGCTGTTTTCGCTTTATTCTTCAACATTCTCAGTCTTCTTATCCTAACATTGAGCACAAGGCTTACTTGCAAGCATTATACAGTCGATTTTGCGAGGTTCTTTGAGCAAATGGAGCGGGCGCTGCGCGTGGGTTGCGGTCGATTGGCGCTAGAGCGCGGAAAAGACGCGCTCAGCATATCTCGCATTTATGCGTATCCTTCAGTTCCTATTAACATGTAGTCAAAATACTTATGGACTTTTATGGCATCCATTGGCCTCCAACGTTTAGACAAACAAAGTCTTTTTGCAGTAAGGAAACGATTGTAGACGTCGTCAATCACAGTGTTTGCGCGCTTGTCGACCGCGCCGCTACCGTTGTCGCAAGACCTTTCTTTACAAGCATTTGCGAATGAACCAAGTACCAGTGTGAAAAAGGTTTCCAAGCATCAGATCTACAAGTTTGTGCTTATCCTGCTTTGCCTCCACTTTTATCGAATGCTTAGGTTTTATAGCGTTTGACTTTGACCATTAACATACCTCCTTCAAAGAGTAGGGTAAACAGTTGGTAACGACCACTGTAACTTTGCACTTTAACTTTGACTTGGGATAAACTGGCATTTTTCATCAATTTTTATGTCTGAAGCTGTCGATGGTTGGTCCTGAAGCTGTAAGAACTGATAGAATAAGTACACTATTTAAATAATGCTTCTGTGATTAAACATTACTGTTTGTATTAGATTAATTAATCCTGAGCAAGCATTTGCTGGCGTTGCGTACGCGCCACGTCCTGCACGTTTTATGAAGGCTTACTTTTGATAATTTTGATCACTTGGAGCTCACCTTCCACAACGGGAACAAACCACATTTCAAAGCTCACAACCTTTGTAAATAAACTTGTGCGCATTTCTCGAAAGGCGTTGGTGCCGCGCTGCTGATATGTCCGTAGTTGCGTCTGCGTTTCTCAGCTGAGTTGCTAGTATAGTCTTCTTTCATTTTCATGTTATACACTCCCTTTCACTATGCGTTAGCTCTTATTCCAAAAAAGATAATGCGTTGTACTGACGCATGACATATGACTATTAAATTATACATTCTCGACCATTTATTGTAACAACAATGATTTGAGCATTTTTTGCGCTGTGAAGTCCGATTGTGAAGGCTTCACTAAATGCGCTGTATTAACACCAATGCTTTGTTATCTTGACTCTCATTTTATTTTGATTTTGGGGTTTTTTCTAGAAATTATAACTTCAACTATCTCATCAAAATTATGTATCAACTTTTCCGGCATGTTCCATTCACTACCTATTGAAATCTACCTCAGATTAGAATTTTGCCCATAAAGGCAGTGTCCGGGCAAAAACTCGATCTTGAGATTTTTTGCTTAACCTTTAAGTTGTTCCAGAACCATCAAGACCACAATGGCGCTCTTTTTTTTCCTTCCTAAGTATTAGTAGCACTTAACGACGAGGTTCGCGCAGCTTAGCAACTGGAGCTCTTCAGAAAGACATTTGAATGTCCTTAGTAACGTTCGTAATTCGCCTGCCAAATGCTTTCATGTCTGCTTTGTTTCATGCTAATATCTATCTTTGAATAGAGGTGCCTTGGGCTTGGATACAGATATTTTGGAGGTTTCAGAGAATTCATCGAGTTAGCTAACCTCCGAGAGAATTCTTCGAGTGTTATCATTTGCGTATGTTTGCACCGGAACAGGTGCAAATACGCTTTCAAAATCATTTTGTGACAGATTCTGAAATGAAGGCTGTACGATGATGGCTTGCCGCTGTAGATGCGCCACCAAGCGGAAGCGGCTTTGGATCTTTGCTAGTCCTACTTTCGCATTGGGCGAGGAGGGGGGGGGCGGGCAAAAACCACAGTGCGTATAGAACGCAATCGACCTGAGATCACGCCCCTTTCTGCACCACAGAACTGATCGTGTCAGGACCTTTGTGGGGGTTTGATATGAGTTTACATCCTGTGTCAATTGCACACTCCCATTCCCAGCGGCACAGTCGCCACGAGCTTCGCCACGTTCGCGCGCGTATGGCTCAAGCCAACGCCTTATCGATCAGAAATCAAGTGATAAAGGCTCTACGATTACTGTCAGTTCAGCACACGCCGCCTTTTCTGCGTAATGAACCGGCTAGTTCACAATGTGGCAAATAGTATACTGTCACTGGCCGGGTGGATTAAATTTTTTGAAAACTGCTTGTCGTTAACCACGCAAATTGTTTTTATTTTACGAATATGCATACCCTTTGATGCAAAGGGATTGGCGGCCGGGAGACGGGGCTTTCGAGGCCTAATTGAGGCGAGGGGATGGATAGAGAGCACGCGCGCGAGAGAGACGCAGATTGCGTCGCGGATGCGGGCGGTCGCCTTCCAGCCGCCAAACCAGTTGAAACGAAGTGTAAGTTCTCTGCATATTTATCACCTTTAAGAGGGGTGGGGGGGGGGGGTGGGAGGGAGGAGGCATGAACACATAGGAAATTTATACCTGAACCAACCGGTAAGTAACTACTTGCGCAAAAATTTTGCCTTCAAGACGTGCTTTATGTTTCATAGTATTTCCATCATTGCATGCGGAAAAGTCGGCTTTCTTCTCTCTTAAAATGCTCCTGTTATGTTAGACGTAACTCGTAAATAAAACATACAGACAATCACATCGCTAGCATTGTTCAAGGCTAGCTGCAATAGATGGGTTTTAAAGGCTTTACTGCAGGGTCTATTTATTCTGTACCCATGGTGGTTAGATGCTTGTCGTTCCCCTTTCGTCCATGTTTGCTGATCACCGCTTTTATGAGCGCCATGACATATCGAGGTGATTTCGTTTCCTTCAGTCTGCTTACCTACCGCGAAGTTTTCTCGAAAATTTGTGCAAGTACTCGCAAAATTTGTGCAAGTACTGGCAATATAATGTCAAAACCTCAAGGGGGAAAGGTCGCTGACGAATTTTGCAGGGATGCTTCTGAACGTTATTTTGTTAGGATGCTGACTACTTGTTCATGTTATTAGAAAATTCGTAACTGGCTAATATCGTGGATTTTGAGGCCATCATGCTTTAGATTCCAGTTCATGACAAGAATCGTCCAGTTTACGACTTACTTATCCCACTCCCGTCCTGCAAGTTTCTGCTTACAGTACACCATTCCTAATTTTGCAAAAAAAGGTTATCTTATGTTGAACGGACCCCCATCGTAATCTTGCAAGTTCATGTTCACCGTACAGCTACCGCAATCTGCATGAAAGGAGTAAATGCTTTGTTAACAATACACTTACCGTAATTCTTTTGTTGGTTACAGTACACCTACAGCAAAATAAATGTCCTACTAGCAGTACGCATACTGTAACCCTGCACTTTTATTACGATATACCCACATTTATTTTGCAAGAAAGACATTGCAATAATTTTGTTAACAGCAGTCCGGCGTAGTGGTGCAAAAAATGGCAATTATTCTGTGTCAAGATGGTTACCGTAATCCTGCAAAGCTAGAGGTAACTATATTCCTGAAGGTGAAAAAAATTGGTTATAAGTTATTATTTTATCTTTACAATTCCACTTTGTGCTAACTTATACTATGTAGTGTTTAGAAAATAATTTGCATTCGAGAAATGGTCAGCCACAAATTTCTTTCTATTACAGTATACTACCGTAATCTTGCAAGATAAAAGGCTCAAATGCGGTATCCAAGCAAATCCTAGTACCTGAGCTTTCCATGGAAGCCACCGCCTAAGCTACAGCTCATGTAATCTGAACTCTCGTCCTGACCGTAATTTCCAATACCACAGCCTCTGCAAGTAAGTACACTCATTGGCTCGCTTGAAAGAGTACGGTCTGGACGAGATTTGTAGCTAAACTTTTCGGAAAGGAATTTATAGGAGCTGTAGCTTGGGTAGTAGCTTAGTTAAGACCTAATCAGTTGCACATAGATGGGAAATCCCTCCCGTATTCACACCTTCTGTAATCAATTTTGTTACTGAAGTGTTAGAAAAACTGAGGACAAAGTCCGAATGACGTTGTTTTTAGCCATATCTGTGTACATATATATTCAAGAACTATAATCTGCTCGGATCATTGGGTGTCTGCAGCAGAAAGAAACTTTTGCCTGAAGATAACGAGCGTTGTATATGGGCACTGATAGCGTTGCAAGCAAGTCCCGACTCCACTTACTTCTGCTACACCCACGCTCAAAAGCTTCTTGCTGGTGCACAAAGTGTCTGAAACAAAATTTGTATGCTAGGTATGGCATGTGAACAACATTTTCAAGATGCATTGGCGATCTCACATTGCGAAGGTTGGTTCTTTCAATACGAATTATAAATTCTGTTCGGCGACTATATGTGCATTCTCACATATGAAAATGCTTTCCAAGCTTCGGCACATCTTTTCCCGTTCGCTCTTTATCGTTCGTCCATTTATGCCACCTACAGGCATATCGATTATCTTTTCTGTATTGTACATCTGCTTTGGTTTTCAATCGAAATCTCGAATATCACTCTTGGTTTCACACTGCGATATGCAGTAATTGTGTACCGGTTTTCGCTTTGTACGATAGCTCTTTGGGGCGATTATCAAAGATCCGATTGCGGATTGACGATTATGGACTACGTAGCACTTTGTGGGGGTGTCGGATTATGAATATTCGAACAACGAAATAGTAAAAAATGAATATTGATAGTATGCGGATCCTCAATATCCCGTTTTTCTTCTAGAAATTCTAGTACCGGGCTTGCTGTGAGCTCAAAAATTTTTGTCCCACACTTCTGACTCACTATTTCACTATGTTCTTGTAAGATTATGGTAAATACACTGTAAAGGTTCCAATGCAGTTCCAACATGATTGCAGCTTGGTATATTGCTGTCTCGCCGCAGAAAATTGGAACGCAAGGTAACCACAATAGTCGAAAATAGTCCTTTTATGAAGTAATCGAGTTTTATTGCAACTAAAGGTACCATTCATCCATCTTTGGACTACTATATTCTGTTGATTTTTCGCTTTTCTAAATCTCTCCTTACTCCCTTCATTTCTTCCTCTTTTGATTCTTCATTACTTCCTGTAAATTTTGACTTTCGGCTGCACAGTCATGGGCTTCCTAATGTTTTTGCGCACCCGTAGCCCCGAAATTTAACAAGAAGGAGGTGGTGACGCCCCATAAAAAATTTTTTTACAAAGCCGAGATTCTTCAAAAGATTTCAAAAATTATTTCAGTTCTTTGCGAGTAACAGGTCAATTCCATTTTTACCACTGCAAGTAACAAGCAAAAATTTCCCAACCATTCTCGGGATTTAGTTGCGGGGGGGGGGGGGGGAGGGTCTGCCATTGCTATGTGTCGTGTAATCTAAGGAGGTGGGGAGGGGAAGGGGAAGCAGAATATAGAGCAAAATAATTTTCATGGCTCTTGTTAAAAGCCTTTGAATGATCTTCAATCCTTGGTAGACCCCGAGCGAAAATGGGCATCCCAAAGCGGTCTCGTACAATGCTTGACTAGCTGGCGCACGATCAAAGGAATGCAGGATTTACTATCTGTTCTTTCCTCGATCTGCTTCATATCGGTCGCTTCGCTGCACTTTTCACCGCTTGGCCTTCCTCTTTATTCTCGTACAAAATAGTCCAAGCATAACAAATGTTTGGATGAGTGATTTTTCTCGTAGCGGGATGTCTCTTATGCGGTCATCACTTCTAATAAGCGAAGAGGATGCAGGATCTAAGATTCGCCAGTTCGATAGCACGTTGTGCAAATCGCAAATGCGATGATTGGAGCCCTAGAAAGCGATGCAAAAGGCGCGATGGTTCCCTCTGATGGGAGCGGTGAACGTTTTCGGGCTGTTAGTTTTCAGTAAAGTGTGCTTTGGTAGGATGAAAGTTAGAAAAAAACGGATATTGGCATGATGTCGTACATGAATAGCATTGTATGCTTGCTAATTGGTTTGGTATGAGGTTTTTATATCGATGAAATGTGATCGATTGAAGTTTGAGCGAAATCGTTCATCTTTGTCGCATGATTTGATTTCGAAGCAGATTTTGAATTGATAGGAGGCTAATTAAGCGTCTGTTGATATGAGTCACTCGAAGAATCACAGCAAGGTTTAGGATTCTTAGGAACGAGGAAGAGAAAGGGAGAATAGATGCAGCATTAGCTCAAAATATCAAAGCTATAATTGTCATTAGGTAAACATACTACATTATCATGATTGATTTACTCTCTGTTTCAACAACAGTGTCGCAGGCTCGTGCGGCCTGATCACACGCGGCCGCCTCGCTTAGACACTAGGCCGCTTCTGCCGACGTATTCTCTGGGAGTTTTTTTCGTGCAGGAGCAGTGATTGGATGCTGCCAAAAATAGAAGAAATTCCCATAGGGTACGTTCGCAGACGCACGCACGGTCCAAGCGAGGCGGCCGCGTGTGATCAGGCCGCACAAGTGGGGGACACTGTCTTTGAGACAGAGGGTACTTCGGCATTAAATGACATAAAAATTTCGTATCTGACAAATATCACAGAAAATATCAAAATTTTGCGTTTGACAGGATTGCTTCTAACAATAAGTGGTTCGACTTATTTAGTAGGTGTTTGATCACCTATTTTGATCTCATAATACTTTGCTTTTATATAGATCTTGCCAAAAAATATGGCGAGAATAACATTTCTATGAGTGAAGCTTTGCTTATGTACGCCATCGATCGCAACAATATAATCGAGTTTATAGCTGTGATAAATCGCCTTTTAAGCCATTTTAAGACTGTCAGTAATTTCGCAACATCTATGGAAACTGATAATCTCCTTCATTGCCTTTCTGAAAAACTAAGGCGACGTTGGCAGTTGTCCTTGTGCAGGAGCGATGCCGCGACGCCGTGCCAGCGCCGTGCTAGCGTCGTGCCGGAATCCACGCTCGCGTTCCATACCAATCTTGAGATTCGGTACAGCGCTAGCACGGCGCTGGCTCGGAGCTGGCACGGATTGATCTGGACGCAGTTTAGGAAAATTTGAAGAAATATAATGACTTATTGATGAGATGTCATGGGCAGTACACTTTCCAGATAATGCAATTCGATATTCATCGAACTTTGCGAATTATGTTGAACTTCAAACCTAACTTTAAGTTAAAAATAAGCATAATCTATCAAATCTACTTCACCACAATATTGGTCTTCTGCAATTACTCTCTCCTTCCGTCTTGTAGATCAAACAATCAAAATTACTTCTACATACAAGTGAATCTTTTCAGACTATCACGGATCATCATCCGGAAGCCCATCATCTTCACTATCGAGCCCCGATATGAAAGACAACCTTGGAGTTGATCTGTCCTTCTGCATCCCGTTCAGCAGCAATATGCATCCATTCCTGAACAGTCCAACCAGTAGCAACGGGTGAGTCGCAATTTCCTTGATTAAAAGTTGCCAGTATGCTTGCGAAAGTGTTTCTGCGCTGATAAGAAACTATAGGGCAGTTTATGCCTCCAGTATTTGAACAGGCTTATCTTTCTAGCAGTTTCGCCGCGCTACGAATTTGTCAGCCATTATCGACAATCAACCCCTCATATAGCACTTTCAAAGTACTTCCGTGCGGTCACCAAGTCCAAATTCGGCCTAGAGTATGAGGTTAAAGTCTTCTAATATTTTCTACAAGTTCTTCGTGTAAATCCGCTTTTTTCGAATACAGGCTTATATACAAAAGTAATAGGACGGGACATTCCTAAAATATTTTCTGAGCTGGAAACGCTGTTGCTTTGATATATCATATTGTGATTTGTGTATCCAACTCAGTCGATCGATAGCGTTATAATAATACCGGAAATGATGGCTTTATCATATCAAATATTCGATTTAAAAAGAAACAGACTAATGATCGAAGGCCCAATAAGTGATTAGCTTTGACATATTTTTGGTAACGACTCCAAATACCTTATGTAAACTTTTACGGATGCCTCACCCTTTTCATTTTATTCTATCGCAAATTGCGAATGTTTCAGAATGCTTTTAAAGATTCTAAATGACTTTCACATACTCTTTGATTCAACCGGCTTGATGGCTGGAAGGCGGGGTTTTGTGACCTAATTGAGGCTAGATAATGAGTAGAGAGCACGCGCGCGGGAGAGACGCAGATTGCGTCGCGGGGGCGAGCGGCCTTAATTAGGTCACAAAGCCCCGCCTTCCAGCCGCCAAGCCTGTTGAATCAAAGGTTACTTCGTCACCTAAATTTCCGATGCAAATTTATGAGATTTCTATTCTAATTTTACGATACGTAGGTTCTGTCAACTCATCCACAAACTAAGCAAGCTTTGAGAGAGTGACAAAAATGTGTTTAACAATGCATTTTTATTATCAACATCTCACTTCTCACTACTCTATTTCCACGTGAAACGTTTGAGTAACTACAGTAGCTGTTGTTGTTTTTTTTTTTCGGATATAGGTGCACAATGCTACGATTTTTGCGTTGAGACCTAGGAGCTTTATAAAGCTTGGCAGAGATTGTATTGCCATATTCTACTTCTCGAAGCCTTCCAAGGTTAATTGACTGCATCACAGTGGGATTCAAAATTAGAGCTGCTTATTCTTTGCAAGCAGTCGAGCGATAGTCTTTGACACAAATTTTCTCCTCGTCTTTTACATAGGGTGGCCAGAGCAGATGCTACAGCATTTTCAAGTTTTTTTCTTTTTCCCGAAACGTGCAGCAAATCCGAAATTTTCTAGAAACGAATATAGCTTCCAGTTCAAACCTACTGTATTCAAACTGCGTCGCTTAGACATTAGTGTCAAAACGCATAGTTTGGCCATTTCCTGACATGAATTATAATAGCCTTAGGCAAGTGTTTTTCGATGTTGCTAGGATACAACCTCTGTAGCAAGGCTGCTCTAATTCAAGTGCGATAATTTAGTGTTTTGATGCTGAAATTCAAATTAGAGAGAAAATGTATGTTCATATAGAGATGGTCTTATTTTTCAGCGAGTGTAGATGTAAGGCTTAGTTTGCTCATCTTCTCATTTTGAACGATGCAGAATTTTGAAAGAGTGCTCACTAGGGTCTTTTCTTAACCCCAAATTGAAAATGCTCATGAATGTATGAGGCGCGTAGCGGAATTGTATTTTCGAAAAGCGTTGAGTTTTGTGATTTACTAAATTGCTGTAGTATATTCGGCCGCACACAGCCATTACTAGAGCAGAAATGCCCAAGAATTGCTAATCCTCTTGGAGAAAAAAATCGCTTTAGGTCTAGATTCCTATTATCGGCATGTGCCTGCCTAAACAGACACTTTCGAAGTCTGAGTCAGATAGTCAGTCATACCTTATCAGCACCATTTTTTCTTCAACTTTATCTTTGGTGAAGAAAACGGCTCATACAACACAGTGTTTCAATCAGATGTGCATTCCACAAAGGCAAAAGTCCACTTTAACTCTTCTTCATAAAATTTGTAAAGCTGCCTTCAACATAAGATCGCAAATGTTTCGCTTTAAAAAGAGAAATTTGTTTTTTCTGTTTGAGTAGACAATATCGCCTCTAATTTATGAAACAAGTAAGGTGAGGCAAAATTTTCTGTCTCGAATTTTTCACGAAAAAGCCGTAAACTGTACTTTTTAGAGTGAGTATTATCTAGGTAGGCTGCTAATGCAGTATCGAACTGCTGTCGATTCAGCGAGCAAATGCTTTTTTTTCGAAAATCTCAAACTTCTTTTTTTGTGATTTGTGATCTAATGCTTGAGTCGACATGCTTATTAATTTCAGAACACTTTCTTTTCATATTATCGCAATTTTTATAAATTATGAGGATGGATATCGCGAGTATTGAGTGAATTAGATAATCAGCTGCTTCTAAGCAAACATCGAGTTCGTATCCATTAGCTCCCCTGACGAACGATAAATCCATACATGTCCATTAGCCCCTCTAAACACTATCCATTCGAGTTATTCACAGCCTTTTTTCAGGCGATATTCGCGCTTCGCTATTTTCCTAAAAAAAGCCGATTATCCTTCTTGTTTCCTATCAATTTCGAATTAGTAGCAGAATAACGAAAGCGTCATTATGTTCAAAGTACGGTAGCACATCGAACCTGTGCTGCTCAGTCTATTGTTCATCAAAATGTTAGCTTTACGTAGGAAAAACCAGTATTGACTTTGTTTGCTTTTGTTCTTTATGGAATCTACCACTATGTACTTATTAAATGGAGCTCGAGTGAAATTGTTAAACTTTTTACTCTATAACCCGAACTATGTGAAATTTACAAAAAAATTCACGAAAGAAACAAATATCTAAGAATTTACAAAAGAAACAAATTCCACTAAGAAAATTAGTTTGTTTTACTTATACTTACTCATACTTTATACTTACGTCTACTTTAGGAAATAAACAAGCATTCCGCAAAAACTATGAAATTGTTTTTCGACATTTTTCAAATACGGGGCGAGCTTAACATAGTTCTAGCGATCGGCGCCTTTGCATATTTCCAAATTTGGAAACGAACGAAAAAGTAGTCGATGAAAATTTCATGTCAGGAACAAGCTTATTCTGTCTGCTATGTTTACTCATCTGCGCAATTTTAGTCCTCTTGCGTGCTCGACGCAGTATGTCGATTCTGCACAACCATTTTCAAATCCCTAGTGAATCTTTTTTTCGCTTTGCTACAAATCCCCTAGAGTTGTGTGCGATTATAATTACTGACTAGTTATTCTAGGAGCCCTTTTGGGCAAATGTTCCCTTCGGGGACCATCACGCAACAGCACAGCCCTCTACCGCCAGTGAGCCATTTTTCCCAACAGATGGCCATACACCAGGTACTTTTCAAATCCTCATGTAAGTGTTCATTATTTGCGGAAAAATTGCTTTTAGCAAGGCCAACAAAATGGTCATCAGATGTTGGTATCAACCCTGCACCAGCCAAACTCTCCTCTTTCCACGCTAAACGCTGTTGCTACACATGAGACTCTCACATTTTTCGACAGTGAGTGTAAAAATTTGTTCTTGGAGCAGAAAGTGCGTTTTGAGCTAGCGTATGTTTTAGCAATATCTTTTGTAGCCATGGATGATCGTACTCCCTCGCCACCCACTTCCGATCGTAGTTCCCCAGCTAATGGAGTGATGAGTGGAAATTTAGTATACGATGGGACTACTGGAATGTCATTTTCGAGTAATACTAGTGAGTGAAGGCTGTGGAGTTAAAGTAATAAAAATCTCTGATTTTTTTTCTTGAAGGCTCCATCAATGGTTTGGCTGTAGCACAACAGCAGCTAAAATCACGAAGCAAAATGCATGAAATGGCTGTACGTCAGAGGCTTATCACTGATCAGGTACGAATTCATGAAAAAATGCAAAAAATGCATGAAAAAATGTAGATCCATGAACATGAACGATGTATCCTGCGCCTATGCGCATGCTGACCAATCAGAGGCGCCTGGAGTTACAGTATCCCACGCTACGCCTAGCATAGGCTACGGTATTAGCCCATTCATAACCCAACTTTCACTGGATTTAGAAGTTATGATCCTCTATAGTTTTACCGAGAAAGTGGTTAAGTTGACCATCGAAACAATTTCAGAAAAAAATTTGTGGGTATTTTGACAAATTGGGGACTTTCGCATGTACCATAGGCCTTAATCAATATAAGAATATTATCATTTCTTCTAAATCTGGCAAAACTTGATTAGCTAGAGAGTACACATCTTGAGCTATATTTTTTTTCGATCTTTTCGCTTTTTTATTGATCTAGTTTTCGCAATCATCATCCCTTTTGAGTGGATAGTTTTGGTCAGAAAGCTGGTCATTCATAAGTAGGGACTTTTGATCGTTGAGAGAATCTTGCATTTGCAGGATCCGCGCAGTCAGGGACCCGTGCAGCTCACACCCGAAGAGAAAAGAACTCTTGTTCAAGAAGGTTACCCGGTATATTAAATCAATGCTTCCAGGGCTTTCTCTGAAAGCTTCTGAGTAGAACATACGCTGTACAAGTTTCCTTAATCTTAGATACCCACTCGTCTTCCATTGTCAAAAGCGGAAGAAGAGTCGCTGAAGATTGTGAGAAGAAAGATCAAAAATAAGGTGAGCGTTCTAGCATTTGTAATGGAATGAGCTAGTTCGATTGGAATGATTTGAATGGGACTTGTTGGTGTTCGCTTCAGTCCATTCATGCCTTTATGCAATCAATCTGTTTCATTAATTAGAGTAAGCACTAGTCTGCTTTTGTTGATTTCAAACACAGTGTAGCGCGTCATTTCAGCTTTCCGCCCAAGAGTCACGTCGTAAACGGAAAGAGTACATGGATACGCTTGAATCTCGATGTCAGGCTTATTTCAACGAAAATACACATCTTAAAAGTAAGTTTGTCGATTATTTTAATTTTTTAGCATCTAATTTACCCAATTTACAATCATCTTTGGTTGTGGTTTAGAGGAACGAGTACCTCAATTAGGCACCGCCTCCGCGGGCTGCTGGTCCTTTCGTCCTACTGTTATTCATCGTGCCAGGGCCAGTAGTCCGCCGAGGCGGTGCCTAACTGAGGTGTTCGCTCCTCTACCCTTGGTTGTGCACTCCTTCATAGTTGTTGTAACCATGGTTATTATTACAACTGCCTTTTTTCTTTTCAACTTTATGTGATTTTTTTAGATCGCGTTAGACAGCTAGAAATGTCAAACCAGAAGCTAGTGATGCAAGTCAAGAAACTTCAAGACATGATGGGCACTACTCCTTCCCACTCTGACATTCCTGCGAATAATTAGGTAAATTTTCATGAAAACTATCGCTATTGCAGGTGAAGATTGAAGTTCAGGGTATCGAGGCAAGTCTAGGTATAGAAGCTTCTTATGCAGTTCAGAGTCGTTGTGCCGGCGCCGTTCCAGTGCCGTGCCGCGTATTGATTGGTACACCTTCGGCACGGCGCTAGCGCAGACGTTTTCGAGCGCAGCCCCACGCAAGAATGGGCCTCAAAATTTTTGAAATCAAACTCATGATTACGCAAGATGGTTGTTGTCAATTCTGGATAGCAGTTCTTTTTTCAAACTAGGGAACCAGTAATCTGAAGGTGCAAGATCTGGGGACGTTCGCTTCGATTCCCGCCGCGGTTTCCCGCTGTTGGAAGATTTTTGAATTGAGCTAACAATTCTTTATATATCAGATTTTCGAATACAAGGTAGCCTTGTGATTGATTCCAAAAAACTTGTTCTTTTCAGTTCATTTCGATCGCAAGTCCGACCATCTTCTATCTCCTTCAAATTGTTTTCTTCCATGAGAGGCGGTTGAACATACAGTCGGTTTGGTGATAGTGTCCATCGCTTGGCCCAACTGTGTGCTTCGGTCATCTCTCTGACCCAGGTCTGCTTGATAAAATGCGTGTATTAGTCGTTACTTTCGTGTCATCCTACGGAAGAGGGACGTCGTTCAGCCGTTACATAACTTTAAGGCATCCTTGTGATCTCTCTAAACGGCTGGATATTGAAAGAACGGCACTTTTCTTTGTTTTTTCAACACATTCTCATGTTTTTTTTTCGTGTGTTAATATTAGCGAAATTATGTGCTCTAAGCATAATATCAAGATTATTGTTTGAAAGATATTATATCTATATCACAGTTCTAATCAATCTCTATGAGTGTTGATGTATGATTATGATTGTGCAATTGCTGTTGTCCCTGTGATACATTTGGGCACTTTATATGCGTTGCTTCAAGAAGAGTGCTCTTAATACAAAGATGATGTGATAAATTTAGTTTTTAGTAACTATAATAGGAAGAATTGATTTTTTAATAGTTTTGAAAATGTCACCATCTCTGAGCAGCTTTGCGAGTGTTGTTATGCCTTTGGTAAAATGACAGTACTTTTAATTCTATAGTAAAATATAAGATTTGTGTTTGTTTTTGTTGTATACTGATTGTCTTCCCAATGAAGATTTGCTGTTGTTTTCCCTGTTTTCGTTTCCGAATCGGTCTGCCGATTTCGCTCAAATTTACGATACTGGAGAAAGTATTAAAATAAGGGCAACTTGAGTTCTGCTATTTGTCGGTTCTACTGCTATCTGAAAAATAATGTAAGTCAAAATTCCTATTGCATCTTACAAGTCGTTGAATTGTCGTTATACTACAAACCCATAAAAGTTGAGATCATATTATACCCAATTGGTTTGTCCTTCCAAAATTCTTAGCATACCTTTGGCAAATTAGAAATGGAGGCAGAAATTCTTCGCGAAATATGGAGGTATTTCACAGGAAATGGAAAAGAAGACAGAGACGTAAAAAGCGGCGATCACAAAGCCGAAAAAAGTGCATGGTTTGGACTGGCAAAATTTCGCGTCAAGACCGTCGATATAAGTTTTATCTAGTAAAACTGGATTGGCGGGCGTTCGCCTCGCAACGGTTCTCGCCGTTCCGCAGCTACAGTGTACTTTTGAGGTAAGAAGGTAAGAAAGCTAAGAAGAGTTCTTTATGATAGTTGTACGGCGTGTTCTGGTGGCATATCTTCGCAAAAGACAACGTCTAATGTCCTCCATCCAGGTGCCCTGAAAACGCAAAAGCTCGACGCAGAGGCTGATTTTGAAGCTCTGAATGTCATCAAGCCTGCAAAACCGTGCATACTTCAACAAAGACATTCTCTGCGCAACTTTTTCAAAAGAAGCACATGAATTGTTTACGGGTTTTGATGAGTTTAGAAGTACTTGCAGAATTGTGCGGCCGAATTCCGATGACTCCCAGATGAATAATTTGTGCAACTGACTTCTTTTAACATGTAGAATAACTTAAATGCTAGAAAATTCAAATAAGTTATGTAGAAGATTTTTTTGGAGAAGAGGGGAAGGGAGGGTTGGCTACAGCCACTTTTTTTTTCAAAAGTCTTGTTACCCTTCTAATAGGCGTAACTGATACCACCCTCTTCCATACTCTAAAGAAATTTCTCGGTCCCCCACTGCTCATTATACTGACTGTACTTTATATCCGTTTTGAAAAGTGCAGATAATGGTTTATTTACGTGCTAGCGTCATATGTATATTTGAAAAAAATGTGAGCTAGAGCGTAAAGCATAAAATTTCATTAAATTAATTTGTTTAAAAACTGATATAAATTGTATTATGCCGATGGCGTGTAGTGGATGCGTGGTTTATTGTGGATAGCTTTTTTTCAGATTTTGTTGTTCGTCGATGCCGGCATTCTCGGCTTTTTTAAAGTCCTGAGAATGGCTACAAAAAAGCATAACTTTCGTTCAGTAAGTTTGCTCACTACCGAAAATAGAAATATAATTATGCGGATTTTCTGTCTCATGTGTATGATTTAACAAGGGAAGGATACTTGATCGCAGTGACGATTGGGTAAGCGATGTATACACATTCCATATCTGCTATGACGTCATTCTGGAGGAGTTATGAAGGATTTTTGGTGCAGTGGATAGTGGCTTGGACTGCGGAGCTGGACGTCGTGAGTTCGATTTCTCAGAGATGCCACCCGTTTTGCATTTTTATAAGTTTTAGCAGGCAAGTTGAAAACCTGTCGACATCAAAAAAATTGATTTTCACAATATGAAGCAATATTTTTACATTTATTGGCACTGAACCACCGTCTAATCTAAAAACACTCAGTAAGAGATGACCAGTTGTGGATAGAACATGGATGATTAACATGTTGTGCATCAAAAAATCGATAACGACGCCATTTTTGACAGTTTAATGCTCCTCTCTATGTTAAGTATAAATTCGGAATTTTTCAATGTAAAAATGGGTAAAGTATTCAATGAAAAAGGCTAAAAACGAGTGTTTTTAGGTTAGACGGTGGTTCAGTGCCAATAAATGTAAATATATTGCTTCATTCTGCGAAAATTAACATTTTTTGAACATTTTTTGATGTCGACAGGTTCTGCAGCTTGCCTGCTAAAATTTACAAAAATGCAAAACTGGTGGCATCCCAGAGGAATCGAACCCACAACGTTTAGCTCCGCAGTCCAAGCCACTATCCACTGCACCAAAAATCCTTTATAACTCCTCCAGAACGACGTCATAGCAGATATAGAATGCGGTTTAGAGATGACCGTCTGGGGATGGTATACGCGTTATACACCGCTTACCCAATCGTCGCTGCGATTAAGTATCCTTCCCTTGTAAGAAATTTACAGGTAGCGAAATGTGTCATTTTCAATATCCGATTCAGTAACCAGACGCTCCAAAAGTAAATTACTTCGTGACGTGTATCTAGCAGTTGAACTTGAATAATTTAGTTGCTGCCAAGATTACTACTGGAATTGTGGAAGAGGAGATGAAGCGAAATGCGAAAGTTTGGCCGTTCGCTTTCTTGAATATTACGAATACTCTTACCAGGAGGGAAAAATAGATTGTACTTGTATGTATGTTATCTTTTGTACTAGAGAAGTAATGGCCATTGTTGAGTTGAAGTTTTTTTGTTATAGTTCGTCTATTCTAGCTCATAATTTCGAAGAATCATGTGGTCGCATCTTTTGCCAGTGCCATGAGAATTTGATTAAGTGTTTCTCGAAGTGAGAGAAGAAACAATGGAGACGTGTACATACAGCAGCGGCATTTCCTTGACAGCCTGTTCGACTTATTGTTATTCCTTCTATTTAGTATAGATATTCGCTGCTGTTTGTTTCCTAGGCTGTGTTGTACTTGATGCCATACTTTATGCCATTTGATTAGCACATTTCGCGAAATCAATGAAAAGAAAGCATATCTACTGTTAAGACAATCAATTAGTGTATTTGCGAAGAACTTGATTTGAAAACAACTTGTAATGTACAGTGACTGCTGTTCAACTGGAAATGCGAGGCACTGCATGGATAAATAGATGACTAAATCACTATGGTCTACAAGGTAGTCTTACATAGATACAATACCGCTCACATTTTTTGAAAAATAGACCCGAATGTATGGACATGTATGGACATGAACGGACATGTCCATACATGTATGTGTTTGGGGGCTATCGCTTCCAATGTATTGGGAGCAATGGCGTACAGTGGATAAGTGTTGTGTGCCATTGCTCCCTTTGGGGGCCATGGGACACATGGGGGGCGATGGCGCTCATCGTGGATCTTACGACTAAGCGTAGCTAAGCAACTAAGATTTTGCTAATAGATGCTTGTTCAAAAGCCTTACTTGGGATTCAAATTTGAGCTAAATCAGATCAAGCTGAATCGAGTTATGATTTTTCATAAAAAATTAAATTTTATCTTCATAATTCGAAAAAGCATGTATGAGCAATTTAGAAAAACCTGGAAAGTTCTCTCAGAACGCTCTAGAAACGTCATTTGCTTACTCCTTTGAAAAAAAACTCTGAAAACTCCGCTGTCCAGTGATAATATCATTTTATCACTTATCGTTGATAAAATAATATATTCGGATCATTTTTGGTGTAAGGTAAGCAAACCATCGTAGGAGAAGCTGTGCAAGTTTTTTAGCCGCGATCCTCACTTTGAAGCGATTTATGAGCTGTTATAGGTTGAATGGATGCATGATGCAATTTTTTTGCCGACCCCTCACTCCGGTAATTGATCGATGACCCAACAAGACAGCTCTTCGTGGTTGAAGTTGAATTTTTCAAAAGTCTGTAACTTGTTCAAAGTGTAAATGAAGTGAGCGGAAGGAAATTTACAAGTATTGGATATATAACCTCGAGTCATTCGTAACTTAATGTGTGAGATTGCACACTAGGCCCTGTTAACGACGGCACTCGTACTGGTAATTTTCCAGTGAAACATTTTTTTAGCCCAGCAAGTGTAGAAATAAGTGACTAACATGTAACCAACAAAAACAAAAGAGACAAGGAAACACGCAGAAATCACTAAAAATGAGCAGGCTTTAGTTTTGCTGTTCGTCAGTTAACGTGTTTAGTGTGCACTACGCATATTAAGTTACGAATGACTCGACGATAGGAGTCAGAAGTGGGCGTGGCTTACAGTTTACACCTATAAAGCGTAGGATTTCGTAATTCTTCAATTCTGCAGAATTACATGCTGGAAAGCCCAAATAAAGGCTAAATGGAATCGCTGGAAGGAAATATTCATATACTGGGTGTATAGCAGCATCAAAAGTGGGAGGGGCTTAGAGTTTACCCCTATAAAGCGTGTAAATGCGAAAATTCTCCAATTCTGCTGATTTACATGCAGGAAAGCCCAAATAAAGGCTAAATGGAGTCGCTGGAAGGAAATATTCATATATTGGGTGTATAGCAGCATCGAAAGTGGGCGGGGCTTACAGTTTGCAGCTTAAAAGCGATAAAATCGATATTATAGAGTTAGAATCGATATTCTTGAGGTTGCAAAAACCCGAAAATTGGCAAAAATCGATAAAATCGGTATTCTGGAGGGCGCGAAATCCCGAAAATTGGCAAAAATCGATAAATTAGATATTTCGCAAACTCCAAAACCTCAAAAATCGATAAAATCGATATTCTGGAGGTTGCGAAATCCCGAAAATTGGCAAAAATCGATAAAATCGGTATTGTGGAGGTTGCAAAAACCCGAAAATTGGCAAAGATCGATATCCTGAGGGGCGCGAAATCCCGAGAATTGGCAAAAATTGATAAATTCGATATTTCGCAAACTCCAAAACCTCAAAAATCGATAAAATCGATATTCTGGAGGTTGCAAAAACCCGAAAATGGCAAAAATCGATAAAATCGATATTCTGGAGGTTGCAAAAACCCGAAAATTGGCAAAGATCGATATCCTGAGGGGCGCGAAATCCCGAGAATTGGCAAAAATTGATAAATTCGATATTTCGCAAACTCCAAAACCTCAAAAATCGATAAAATCGATATTCTGGAGGTTGCAAAAACCCGAAAATTGGCAAAAATCGATAAATTAGATATCTCGCAAACTCCAAAACCTCAAAAATCGTCAGAATCGATATTCTGGAGGTTGCGAAATCCCGAAAATTGGCAAAAATCGATAAAATCGGTAAGCGAAGGCGTTCTTTAGAGTTGTTGCACAAGCGATATAAGAGGTTAGTAAGCCCTTTACCCAGACGCTGAAGTCTATGGCAGTAAGCCCCGCTTCCGTTGCCTGCAGTGCAACAGCTGTAAACAGCACTTTCGTAATGGCGCTTCCGGCGTTATCAGCGCCTTCGACGTTGCCAGCGCCTATGGCGTAGTTGGCGCTTCCGCCATCACCGACACTGTAAGCACTCTCAGCACTTTCGGCAGCATCAAAGGAAGCTGCTATGTGTCCGTATCCTTGTCACTGTCCATTCGTGCCAGATTTCTTTGTAGTGTATATTTGTATTCAATTTCTGTACAGAAAGAGCTAAAAGAATTTTAGACGTTGAGTGGCTAAGCTCTACGAAGAAACCCACCATCACAACAGTGAAATTTGTTAGAGAGACGAGAAGTGCGATTAGAAGGCCGAGCAGGTGTGATCTTATATATAAAGCTGAATGTCTGTTTGTATGTACCATTTGATTCAACTGGATTGGCATCGGCAAAGGTGAGCTTCGTGACCTAATTAAGGCTACGTAATGATCAGAGAGCACTCTCGCGAGAGAGACGCAGGTGCGTCGCGGGCGCGAGCGGCCTCAATTAGACCACAAAACCCCGCCCTAATGGTGCCAAGCCAGTTGAATCAAAGGTTATGTATGTCTGTCTGTACGTATGTTCCGAATAGAAAATTCCATTTCTGAACCGATCGGGACCAAACTTGGCACACATACACTTCGGGCCCCGGCGGGTGTCATAGGCTACTTTTCGTATCGATCGATATCGATTTTATCGATTTTTTGCAAAATTTGAGCTACGGGGCTGGGAGTTGGCACAGGGGGGTAAGTGAGCATGGGGATTCCGAATACAATATTAGTTTTTAAAATCGTGCATTACTTTTATCGATTTTATCGATTTTTTTGCAAAGTTTGAGCTACGGGGCTGGGATTTGGCACAGGGGGGTAATCGAGCATGCTGATCACTCCCGTGGGGGTGATCAGCATGCTCGATTACACCCCCTGGCAAATTCCAGCCCCCTAGCTCAAATTTTGCAAAAAATCGATAAAATCGATAAAGGTAATGCACGGTTTCGAAAACTAATATTGTATTCGTAATCAGCATGCTCGATTACCCCCCTGTGCCAAATCCCAGCCCCTTAGCTCAAATTTTGCAAAAAATCGATAAAATCGATATCGATCGATACGAAAAGTAGCCTATGACACCCGCCGGGGCCCGAAGTGTATGTGTGCCAAGTTTGGTCCCGATCGGTTCAGAAATGGAATTTTCTATTCGGAACATACGGCGGAGCCGGGTAAGCCAGCTAGTTATCTATAATTTGCTGAGTGCATGTTTCTATAGCCTGAACAAATATAATCAATAAAATTCATGTGAAGAAAGAAGTCAAAGATGAACATGCAAATGCAATCAACTTTTGTCTCTATACACCACTAGCTTCTGTAAGACGTTCACCAGCAGCATTCTTCAATCTCCAATCGTACAGATCGTGTTTTTTTTCTTGCGACAGTATTTCAGTTTCCGGATTACATTTTTATGAAACAAAAAGAAACAAAGCAAGGTACATAAGCATCCATGTTCGACTATCCATGAATCTTGGCATAGTTGCAATCTTCTCGTTAATTGCTTGAGCGTAATCCAAGATTGGTACAGAACTTTATCGCACAGAATAACAGACTAACGTTTCGGCGAACTCGCCTTCTTCAGAGTCTGAAAAAGTCGAAGACACATAAGTAAACTATCCGATCAAACACCTCATCGACTACAGAAAAGAGCCCAACCCTTTAAGAAAAAACAACAGCCTCAACCAAAACTAAGATCAAGCTAGTGCTCACCTTAGCAGATGAAAATTTGGTGGGTGCAGACCACTATGTCAAAAAGCTGTACTGCTTTACTTTTATAGTTGTGTCGCCATATCAGAGCCTCTGTGGCTTTTGAATAATGGGGTCAGGTCAGAACCGGGTCACTAGTTAACTATAAAAGTAAAGCAGTACAGCTTTTTGACATAGTGGTCTGCACCCACCAAATTTTCATCTGCTAAGGTGAGCACTAGCTTAATCTTAGTTTTGGTTGAGGCTGTTGTTTTTTCTTAAAGGGTTGGGCTCTTTTCTGTAGTCGATGAGGTGTTTGATCGGATAGTTTACTTATGTGTCTTCGACTTTTTCAGACTCTGAAGAAGGCGAGTTCGCCGAAACGTTAGTCTGTTATTCTGTGCGATAAAGTTCTGTACCAATCTTGGATTACGCTCAAGCAATTAACGAGAAAAAAGCAAGGTACATTTGTGTGACTTAAAGCATTTACCGCTGCGCGGCTAAAGTTCGGCACACCTCTGTCTCGGATACATGTTCGCCTACGTCACGTAAAGCCTAAAATCCACGGCAAGTTTATAGCAACTAACAAGAGCACTCGCCTGACATCCTGTCCTTTAGCAAATTCATCTATTTTGACAGAAGCCGTGAATACTGCTTAACAAATATAAAACTG